GCCCTCCATGGTGGCACAGTGGTTTAGAGAAAGGCACTAGGAGGCTATCCACAGCCACTGCAGCACTGAGTTCCATCCCCAGCCAGGGAGCTGACCCACATGGCATAGCAGAACTCTCCCGTCCCACCCACTGCTCCCTTCAGCAGTATGGGTCATCTGTCTGTCTGTTCTGCTCTCCACCAAGTCTCTCACCCCTGTACCTCTGGCCTGTACGCCAGTTCCTATATGCATAAATAAATCTATAAAAAAAAGAAAAGATGCTTAATATGATTTCAGTCTTAATATTTGTTAAGACTTTTTTGTGGGGCCCTCCCTGGTGGTGCAATGGGTAAGGACATAGCACTGCAATCTAGCCACAGTGCAAGTTGCTTCAGTGTAAGTTGGATCCCGGCCCTGGAGGTGATCCACATGGCACGACAGACCTCTCCTGACCTGCCTGCTGCTCCTCTCAGCAGTATACTTCGTTGATCTGCCTGTTCTTCTCCCTACTCTGTCTCTGGTGAATGCTCCACCACTCCTCCATTTCTGAATGCATAAATAAATAAAAATCTGTAAAAGAAAAAAAAAATCTTGTTTCATGGCTCAGTATATACTCTATCCTTAGAAAATTTCCTATGGACTTGAGAAGATCATCTCGTTCCCAGAGTGCTAAACCTAGTTGCAAGCCCCTAAGGCTTTCTGCAGCTTTCTGAAGGACAGCTTGCATGGGGGTAGGGAGACCCAGGGAGATGTGGAAAGAACAAGGATTGGAAGAAATGTGGTCAGGATAGGTTGGACCAGGTACAAGGTTTTGAAACACAATACTTTTTTTATGTCAGATGTTATTCACAGGCCCTTAAGTCCCATATTGATCTGTCTTTGTTCAATTCAGGAAGCTCTATCTAGAATACCCTAAGTCTCTGCCTCTGAACTTTGGACTGTGTTGGTAGAACAGTTGGTGCTGGAGGTTTCGGCACCTCCCTGCTTGCTCCTGGGACTTAGAACCTAAATTAGAGGCACTGAGAGGGGAACAAATGGTGGGAGTTTTGTGGGATGAGGATAGTTGTCAGGAAAAAATTAAGGGACTGGAAAGAGCTGCAATTGAAGAGAAAGATGATGGCAAGCCCTTGCACCACACTGGATTCAGGGGTCTGACCCTTGGGATCCAGGTGAGGGCACTGGGAGGGGAGTGCTATAAAGGACCCTAGAAGGAAGTAGACCTGGATACAACTCCTCTCCTCAAGAGAGGAGCTTATTGATCAGAGGAGTTGTTACCATTCTCTGGAACCCCAAGACTGCTCCCCAGTCATCACTCTGCTCACAGCCACTGGCCTGGGCTCATCCAACCACATCCCACTTGAACCTTAAACTTGGTATGAAGGTTGGGGAATATCAGTCCTTGGGCCAAGCTGGATGTAGACATTGGGGAAGGGGACACAGAGACTCGATGACTACACTGGTGAGACATGAATGCCCTCCTAATATCGCTAGTCCAGTGGCTGAAGGTCCTTGATCAATGATCTCCCAGGAGACTAGGTAGAGTTTGACAAGCTTTAGGGTGGCTGAAGGCAGAAGGTGTTACATGGAGGTCCTGGTGCCTGGGGTGAGGAGTAGGGAAGCTACACAGAGCTTAGCTCACTTGAGTTTTACCTCTGCCGAGTTCCTGGAGCTGGAGAGAGGTGTGCCCATTCACCCCTACTAACCCTTAGTGGCAGCAGGCCCAAACTGCTATAGGACATGCATTGGGGCCAGGCTGTGGGGTAAAGGTCTTAGGTGTGGGTGTTGCAAAGGGCTGGAAATTCCCATCTGGGAAGTGGCCACATGCCCTTCAGCCCCAGGCCCACTTCCACCATCTGTTGGGGGTTCCAGGCAACAGATGCTTTTAGCTTGGCAGGCAGAGCTGGAGAGGGTTATAGCAGGAATTTCAGCTCAGAGGTTGAGCTAGTCCCGGAACAGGCCTTGGGGTGGGCTGAGTCCCTGTAGGCTCATACATCTAATAAGGGTCAAAGGGCCTGGGCACCCTGGTGCTCCTGGTTTCCCAGCTGAGCATTGAGGACACAACGCCCACTCCACCCCACCGGGCCAAGCTGCCCTGGTGACTGAGCAGCTGTTACTGAGGGAGTCACGGAGCTCCTGGGAGTGCATCTGCCACATGCCTGCGCAAGTGTGTGGTGTTCCCGTGCCCTTGCTGAAGCAGACATGATTCAGCGTGTGGCCACTCAGGGTTAGGGCTAGCGGCAGGGCTCTGC